GGGAAGCGTTGGCAAAGCCGGGAAGTTTTGTTATCGACCCCCCCCCCCCCCCCCCCCCCCCAGTGTCCTTTCTCAAATTAGATTTTTAAAACATTCAACAATATGCGCAGCTCTTGAGGGCTACGCTTTCGGCAGTATACGTGATCGAGGTGTCTCTACGTCATCGAATGCAACCGTTCGCGGGCTGGCCGCCGGCACTCCGACTGTTTTGAAAAAGTGGCTGGGTCATTTCCAGAGCAAGCGTATCTTTCCGTGCGTCGCGTCTTTTGGCAGAACACTCAAGAGCCACCTGAACATAGCATAGATAGTCCACACGTCAAAACACTGAAGCTCTTAAAGAAAATTTGAAAGAATAAACGAGGCCTGTTTGCGGTGCACACAGCCTTCCTACAGTTGAAAATGGCATAAAATCGGTTTTCAAGCTAATTGGCATCTGGTCTTAGCCGGTAGCAATAAACTTTGAAGGAGACTGAGCATTTTCCTACGCGTGGTTTACTTTTACGGTGATAAAACACGGTTGTTTTCTCCTCCAAGCACTGCGTATTCAACGTACTGTACTTACCAGACCGCATACGATTTTTAGTCTTTAGCATGTTTAGCTTCTGGATAATGAATAACACAATAGTTCTCCATATGTTATGCCTGTACTGAAATTTTGCATGCAGATAAGCTAATATGTGACCAAAGAACATTAGATTTGGAAGCCGCTCTTTTATGAAAAAAGCTACGAACTTGGCCCAGGTATCTGTCTGGTGGCATCGATAAAATAACAATTTAATGTCGCGTGTGGCTGTTACCGACAGATTTCATCTAGTGGTACTACCGCCTCCAAGGCCTTGCATGTGGCGGCTGCTCGAGAGAAGCTATATAATGCATTAAGATGCACATTCGATATTAACTATGGTTTACTTTGTGTAATACGACTAAACTTGGTGTACTGTTTTATTTATCCGTAACCAATTATCGTGTTTATTTGTTTATTTATTTATTTTTTGCATTGCAATGTAGTTGTTTTTTTTAGGTTTACTTGCGGGCAGCGCGCTCCCGGTAGTGCGAGTGTTATTGGTTTTCGTGCTTTTGTTATTTATTTTTATTCGACATTGTTTACAGCCCCCTTATTGTATAATGTCCTTTTTAATCGGCCCTTAAGGATACATGACGATGAAACTAGTGAGACTAAACAGTTTTTTCGCGTATAAGCCGCAGTAGCCAGTAAAACACTGCATCACTTTTCGTTTTGAATAATTGAGGGTAATGAACACGCTTAATTTCCATTGAAGTATTAGGGTTGTAATGTTGCAATAAAAGGCTGCAAGCTGTATTTTTGTTTAAAAATAACCAATATGAAGAAAACAAAAAAAGCAGTGTTTACGCACTTTTCCGCAACCCACCATTGGATCGAAGTTTTGCTTTGTGCCTACGCATATTTTTCTCCACCACTTTTCCTCTTCCAGTAACTTTGGGTTCCATAAACGGGCATCGGAACTTGCAAATATCCGAATAGGCCGCGCGCGAAGTCCTGCGCGCTCTTGCTTATTCCATCTGACACGGATGAGAGCGAGAGCGCAGTTGCTCACCTTGGGGAGCGACTGCGCTAGGCATCGTCTTTTTCATCTGTTACAAGCGCATGTACTGTTAAATAGCGTTAAGAGAAGGAATAAAGGGGTTTATGCATAATATTTACATTGTTGAGAAACGTTCTGATACGTTGAGGCGTTCGGTATGTATTGCGTCATTCGGTATTCGTTGAGGCTATATCGTTGCGCACTTCGTTCTCTTCGTTCTGCTACCCCGTTCATTTCGCGATCCAGCATGTCCTTTTCATCGCCCTCACTCAAGAACAAAGTCATAATTAAATTATTTTACATGTACCTTAAGTTTCCGGCATTCCTTTCGAAACCGCAAAAAAAAAAAAAAAAAAAAAAAAGTTTGTCGACGAAACGTTTTACGGTGGTGCTGTCGACAAAACGATTGTCGATGAAACGTCAGACTGTCGACGAAACGTGCGTCCATGAAACGTGTGTCCACGAAAAGTTGTCCACGAAACGAGTTTCGACGAAATGATAGGGACCCGCGCAACATCGTTTAAACTTTTTATGACTAGGCTTCACACATATTGCAACGTGCCCCCTCCTAGTACACATACGATATTTGTTTTCTGTAGCATTCCTTCTGTACACGGTGGAACCGTGCTTCTGTAGAAGAAATGCAGTTAAAGGGACAATGAAGACGATTTTATTTAATTTTTTCAAATGGTGTTTTAATGCTTTTTGAGAACATAGCATGCCGCCCAATTTTTTGTAGACATTTATGACGCGTATTTATGTGCCTCCGAAAGATGTAAAGAAACCGAAACTGAACCATCTCCAGTCTCGTTTCTGGGCCTCCGAAAACGGAGGTGACGTAGGGAGTGACGTCAAGTGTGAATAGTCGGTATCGGTAGTATTTAGGAGATCGAGACTCTGGTTACCGCGGTGGGTTATAGCAGCGCGGTGGCGCGGTCGTTGCGCCGACTCTGTCAACATGGACGAATGCCGCTCTCGCGAGCGAGTTCGAGCTTCCGTTCAGTGACCGAACACCAACGGAACGGGAGTACGTGCGTGGCGGCCTCTGCCATCACACGACGGAGACCGCCCAGCCGGCAACGAGCGGCCCGCATGCCGAAGGACGGACGCGGGGGAGATGCCGAAGGGAAAGCGGCAGCGATCCCGCCGTTCCGGGATTCGGTTGCTCCGCGGACGTCCTCTTTTCGTCGTCAAAGAACACGAACAGCAATCCACACGTGAAAACTAGCGTCGCCCAAACGAATACTGGTCTTCAGTCGACCGTTAGACAGCCATCTACGCTACCATTTTGCAAAATCTTTCGAGTACCGTGTTCTTTTTTAATTTTATTTTGTTGGCCCATAGTTGCTCGTTGCCGGTTTCGCGTCCAGCGTAGCAAAGAAAAAAAAACAATGATGCTGCTTTATTTACGGTTTAGTAATCATTTCCGATCCGATTTATGCTTTTGATGGTTATTCAAGTGGAAATTAGAACAGTATTTCTAAAAATCGCGAACCAAAACGTGACCGAGGGCACGTTTCTCGTTTCGACCAATCGCTGACGCGTTTCTTGTGACGTCGCGCTCCTTCCTCCCAGAACTCACAGACCTTATGAACCAACAGAAGGAGGCTCAGCTATCCCGTCTACAACATACAACCGAGGGAAGAAAAATTGCTAAGTACATGGGAATCGAGATACAAGAAGAGGCCCCCATATCGCCGAGCAAAGCGCCGTGGGAACTCATTGACGTAACTCACGGGTGCAAACCTCTCCCAAGAAACATGGACGCTGCGCGGCACAAGAAAAGACGAGAACACTACGCTCGCATGCACAAGAAGGAGCTGGCTAAGCTTGTGGAGGACGAAAAAAACATGATCGCCTATGTGGACGCCAGCATCTCCTCTATGGGTTGGGCAACAGCAGCCACATACATCCAAGGGAATGCGACCTGGACAGAGACTCAAGGTAACCCTCGAGGCCACCACACGCCGGGCTTCGCCGAACGGGAGGCGGTGTTGCAAGCCATCCGAGGGGCAGTACCCCATCTACAAGACGAACAACAGCTAATCGTCTATACCGACTCGCAAGACACCATCAGAGAACTCAAGAAATACAGCTCCTCTTCTAGCCCCACCATTGACGCTATCTTCGCCTTCGCAATCTCACTATACAGATCCAAGAAAATTCAAATTAATGTCAAGTGGACTCCCGGGCACGAAGGCATTTCGGGCAACGAGCTAGCCCATGAGGCTGCACAGCAGGCGATGAGGAATCTCACACAGCCGTCCCTGTTGTCTCAGTCCTCCACGGCAGGCTCAACACCACAGCAACAAGACTCTGAGCTTCCCCCATACGATCCAAGGGAGGAACTCAGGTTAGCCCAGAAGACACGAAAACATCTTCTGGCAAGATCATGGACCCCAGAACAACATCCTCTCCCTAGGGAAGAATTCAAGAGAAAAGAATCGGTGATCCTCCGCCGCATACGCACAGGAGGAGCAGTCACACCCAGGTTCAGATACCAAATGGACCTGGCAAGACTTAAGAAACAACAACCCTACGCTGTCCCTCCCGACCCCAGATGCCAGCGGTGTCAAGCCGAGGAATCCATTCCCAGACTTAAACACATACTCTGGGAATGTGTGGCCCTCTCCACCCTCAGAACACTCATCTTCAGTAAGATGGCGAATGACGAAAGACCTTCAAAACTGCAGGACTGGACGCACCCAGCGGGCGACACCTCACGCAAGACCAGGATCCTCAGATCTCTCTTAGAGTATATTTCTGAGGGAGACCTGGGAAACTCCATCTAACACCTTTAACCGAGGAGACGATGCCAAGCCTTGAGGCCACCGCGTCATGAAAACTTCGAGTCTCCAGAGATATTTTTTTTTTTTCTCTTTAAATAAACGTATTCACCACCACCACCACCTTGGCCTCCTTGTTGGTCCCGCATCGGTCACGTGAGCTCCGCTTCTCCTGGCTTCTCCCGCAACTCTTGGGGCGTCGCCCCAGTCGATCCCGGTACGATTATTACCGCGACTGTTTAATTGATTTGCGCGGCACAGAAGCGCCGGTTTCGGCTGAAATCTGGGCAACGTGTCCTGAGACGTGCCTGGAACCCAGTTCAATCGCCAAAAAGATCTCCGAAACTGCCTTCATTGTCCCTTTAAGAGGCTTCTGTCGACGGACGATATCGAAACCGAAACTTACATCTACCCTGGCGGGCATTGAGTAAACAATTAGTGGTGTCTTTGACACCCAGATGGCGCCACTAAATGGCAATCTGGTGCACAGCACTCGGAGAATAAATGGCGGACATTGCTACTTCACGGCCGGGCTGGAGATTTGATGTCTCCCGCCTTTCGTCGTCTCTACGCCTTATGAAGTTGCTAAATAGGTGCAATTTAATCTGGAAGTACAGCGGTAAGTGTCGGTATCTTTATAAACGACTTTTGCGTGCATGTGCGCCTGTTTGGACGGCCGAAGACGATCCGTTATCGGAGCAACCGTGTTAGGCTTACGATGCCCCGCTTTCAAGAAAGTCATGCGTCCTCGAAGCGCTGATCCCTGCGAGGTCTCAAGTTTTGTCGCGGTGTGCTCTCTTTGTTTTGGTTTTAAACCGTGATTTCCTTTCGGTCTATGCTTCTCCGCTTTGTTTTGCGCCGGTAAGGCGGCGTTTCCAGCCGCAGGTTGCGTTGACAGGTGTTTATTGCGCGAACACGCGTGTTTTCCTAGCGCTGCAATATTCAAAAGCCAGTTTTGTAAATAGGTTACCGAGTCGGGGGTTCCCGTTCCCGAATTCTACAAAACACCCGATACTCTATAAACTAGGTTCCTCGTATTTTAAATATTTCCGCTCAGCGCCCAAACTTTTCTTTTCTTCGCTTTTTCTTTGAAAGTGTTCGCGAATTTTAGAATTGCTGCGTCCGGACGTCAAGCGATCGCTTCATATGCTTTCCGTAGGAAACCCGTTTTTGTTTTCTTTTGTTTGCCGCCGAGCTAACTTTTCGTGAACTCTTTTTCTTTTTGTATTAGACAGTTGATGCGGAGTGCTGAAGACCTTGTTGGAACATCATCTCCTGTCACCGTCATGAATTCGAGACACGCTGCAGAGCTGACGCTGAAGAAAGGTGAGTCTCCTTCGCAGCTGTTGTTTTTCTCCGCGCGATTACAAGCGAGACAGGTGTGCACCCGCGTATGTGTTAAATTGATCCAATATGTTGCAGGCTTTTCATCTAACTTCTATCTGATTTTGTGCGATGAGAGTGCCGGTCAGTGAGCGTTCGTGCAGCTCGTTCGAAAGCTTCCTCTCGTTTGTACGTGACTCAAGTTTCAAAGCATGTTACTACTCTAGTCGGTGACAGGTGGAGTGTAAAGTAGAAGTTACCCCTAATCCTTTCCACTTTAGCAGAAAGAACGCTGGACAGGAGGCTACCTTCTCTCCAGCGTTCGCTCTGCTAAAGTGGGGAGAGGTGGGAGGTGCTTCCGCTTTACTATTAAAGCGATTTTCCGGTCGAAACCGGTAGTACCTAAGTTTTTGCGCTCGTTGCGTCGAGGGAGCCTTCATATTTTTAGTTTGATATATGATCTCCTGTTATTAATTAAACCTTTCATGAGCGTATGTACGAAACTGCACCCCGAATTTCGCCAGTGTCAGTGGCTGACATCCGTAGCTGCTGCGTGACGTCACAAAGCTCAAAGGTTTGTCGGATGGTCGGGATAACAAGCGTTGGTCGGCGGATGTCTTGTATTTTGTTTCGAATTATATAGTCTCCGAGGCTGTGCCCAACGGAAATATGGTTCTTTTAATGCAGTTCCTAAGCGTGTGCAAAAAAATGCACACCTTTTAGCAAGATATTACTCGAAAACAGCCATAAGGTTCGAGCAAACATATGCCGTTTCGCGCAAGCACAATTGCGACGGCCACCGATCGAACTAGGTGCGCTTGCAAAGCAAAGGATGCAGATTTCGCCTTTGAAGCGGCAACTAGGTACACGAAGTGGCATCTGAGTACACATTACGGCGGATCCACGGGTTCGGTGATGAGGCTGCGGGTTGTTCCCTCGGATGCGATGTCCGCGGGTCGAAGGCAAATGGCGAATCGTTCAAATGCATGTCGTCACTTGACTTGGACGAGCTTGGTGAATTGTAGCCACGCTCTAATTTCACATGCTGGTCAAACACAATTTGGCTGCACGCGTGCTAACCACAACTTCTGGTATCGTTTCCAAGTGGTCTAGCTGTTGGTTTCGGTTTCGCTGCATAATCAAATTGATTATTCTGATTTTGGGCGAGGAGTGAATGGACGTAGTTTAATATCGTTGGCACAGCATTACACTTCAGCTTACGGGCCTTCTGTCTGCTTAGGGCTCAGCTCGTAGCTCTCTTCTGTGAGATGATTGCTGCATAAGCGGGATCTCAATCTTGACGGGAACCCAGTCCCTACGCATGGCGACAATCCATTTTGCTCGTCACTGTTCGTCTCGCGGACAAGCGTGGAATGTCATGTCTTGGCTCGCATGTGCTGCCCGGTGGTTGTGGCACCCAACCGCGCAACGAAAATCTAACCCAACCACGAAATAAGTCGAACACAACAACAAAACCGAAACACTCTGAGGCGCTCACTTGCAGGTAAACAACGAGACAGAGATGCTCGCTTTGTGTTGTGTGACGTCAGAGCTCCAATGTTGCCACCGACAGCACCGTTTACGCTAGAGTGCGATTGGAGCAGTATAAATTCAGTTGCTCATGCAGAGGGGCATATGAAATTAAGATATTGCACATAAAATGCGTCTCGAGGCAATAACAATGGTATTCAATTGTTTTCTCGGATACAAAATTTGACTGGACAGTCCCTTTAAGACTACTGTGACACAATGCTTAGGTTATCTTCTTTTTTTATTTTTTCATTCGTCAATTTTGGATGTGTTATTTTGTGCATTTTTATAACTAGGCAAATTTTCAGTGTAGCGTGTTTGGCAAGCACTCGTCACTTGGTGTGTCCTTGTGACAAAATTAAACAGCCCCGACATTACAAGTATCACAGGCAAATTCAATTTTGTGGAGAAAACGAAGTGTAAATGTGAAAGTTCGAGCAGCGTTGGCCAATGGCCAATTTTGCAAATGCCAGTGCCACCAGTGAGTGCCATGGAGAATTATGGGAACCATGAATACCCCAGCCAACTTTGCTCGAGAATGCAAGGAGAGAAAGAATGCTACACATGCAAGGAGAACATCTTTTAACATACAATACATGCTTCATAAAGCACTTTCATTTATTCCTAAACTTCGTACCCAATTGAAAGTTTTTTTTAGTTATGTTTGGTCTGGGCAGCAATAGACGGGTGTGGCGAGCAGCGAACACCATTGCACCTCAACATGCTCGTAAAACATGCAAAATGTCTGGTCATGCAACCAGCCGCAACCGACACTGCCCACTCCTTTCTCGTCTTCTGCTTTGTTTATCTTCCCCCTGCACACCTTTCACAACCATCCAAGATTTCCCAATCTGTTTATATTTTTTTAAGTGTTATTGTTCTGCCAAGTTAAAATAGCTATGAAAGTGGATGGGCCTTACCGAGAGGACGTCGGAGTCGTGGCTTCATTGTCCCGTCATTCTTCATTGTTTCCATACAATGGAGCAGCACAGCTCTCAAAATTTCAGGTTCCCTCGCATGCGCTGCAAGATTTGTGCAAAGCCCGACGGAAGGAAAAAAAATTCAGAGGAGAGCTAGAACTATCACGAAGGAATGCAAAGTTTAGAGCTAGGGAGAGTTATGAGAACCACAAATACCCCCAGCATGTTAGCATACCGAATCTCTGAACAAGTTTAAGGGATGTAATTTTTATTGTAGCGTCATTTCCGGCTGCTTTTTATGGTTGTCGTTTCTGTCCCATGGCAGCAGTGCACGCTGGTCCCAACACCGTGTCTTTGTAGGGCATTTAATTGAGGTGAGGCGCATAAAAGAATGAAAATTATAGTGTCTCAGTCTGCTCCTGCACTATCTTTGCAAACTTAATCCAATTGAGAATAAATGGAATGCGGTAAAAACCACTAAATTTTGCTTAGAAAAACTAATTTGTAAAAAAAAATTTTAAAAATCCTCGTGGAACTTGATTAAATGAGTAGGCCCGAAAATCGGCAGCTTTTGTTTAATCTAGCTTGTGGTTACTTTACAATGCACAATTAGGCGATCCTTTTCTTGGGGCTTGCGCCACGATTCCTGAGCAGTCTTTATTTAGGCGTCTCATTTGCTATTGGAAGCTGGTTTGCAGATGTGGTCAACCGTGTTGGCACACCATACCTCGGAGCGAAAGCCTGCGTTGCAGGACCCGGGCACTCCAGTTTGATCTCCGTGCCTCTCCGTTTCATTTCAACTCTGTGCGATTTGACAGAGCCACGCCTCAAGGGCTGCGAGTGTTTAAACGCCTCGTGCTCATACAAATCATTGTTATTCACCATATTTCCCGGTCTACAAGTCGCACCCCATCTCTGTATGGTTGTGCACACAAAAAGTTGCCACATTGCACATTTGTCTAGATCACACTTTGTTTGGCTGGCGCTGCGGTGCGAGAGCGGACGTGTTCCGCAACACTTTTGATGGTCTTCGAACCGCCAGAAGAGCGGACCATTGGAAGGTTCTTTGTCGTAAATGGTGATGCAGCATAGATGTTGCGCACTTAATGTTCATAGCTATAAAAAGATACGCACATGATCTTCACCGTTGTATAAGACAAAGCAACCGAAATTATGGAGGAAAAAATGAGACGAAAACAAATTTATAATGCGAAATTAGAGCGCAGCTCTTGAGGAGGAGGAGGGGGGGTATGCCCCTTATCCCCCTCCGTACGCACCTATGAACTAATTCAGTTTCTCCGCTAGATTTAGCGGGAAAATTGACGTCGCATCACAGCACCAATTTAATTCCCCGCTAAATTTAGCGGAGAAACTGAATTTGTCCGCTAAATCTAGCGGAGAAACTGAATTTCCCTGCTAAATTTAGTGGGGAATTGAATTGGTGTTGAGGTCATGTGACGTTGATTTTCCCGCTGATTCTAGCAGAGAAACTGAATTTTTCCACAAAATTTAGCAGGGAATTGAATTGGTGTCGAGGTCGCCTGAGTTCGATTTTCCCACTAAATTTAGCTTGGTTACGCCGGTGCTGCGAAACACGGAAAGGGGGGACTAAGAGCTGAGCTTTAAAAGTTGAGAGTCGTAGAGTGGTAGGTACTGCATTTGTAAAATTGGGCTTTTGCCGGAGCCCTTCTCAGGCTCCGGAAGCTCACTCGTCGTCTTGCGGCGTCTCGATGCGCGTGTCCCCGTCAGACGGCACGGGCGGCCCTGCGGCGGGGGAGGAGGAGGAGCTGACCATCCCCCGGGCAGCCATGAACAAGATGATCAAGGAGCTGCTGCCCAACATCCGCATTGCCAATGAGGCCCGGGAGCTCATCCTGTCCTGCTGCACCGAGTTCATCCACCACCTGTCCACCGAGGCCAACGACATCTGCAACCGCCAGCAGAAGAAGACCATCTCGGCCGACCACGTGCTCGGAGGTGCGTCCCCGCTAGAGTCGCCGTGTTGGCGAGGTTTCGCGGTGGATCACTGGTGTATTTCGTGTAGGCTCATGTCCCATGGCGTTGTGGTGTCGTGCGACATTGCAGCGTCACAAAACACTGATGTTTCGTGGAGTTTCATTTGATTGTAAGTAGTGATCTATGTGCAGCAAGTGTGCAGAGCCTCGACCGTGTTTGCAGTTTATCTACGGGACACGGCAAGGAACCCGGAATCTTTCTCCTCCATCATTCGATGCCGCCATGGCTAGTGTTAGTAGATCACTTCAACCGTGGAACTTCCCATAGCCGCTCTACAATGGAGAGCGTCAGATTTTTCGTAGTGGTGGCGACGTTGGCGCGTCATGCACTTGCCGTCTGCTAGCTGCAAGTTTTGAACAAGAACTGCATGCCACGAGCTCTGTGCTTTGACACACAGTGAAACGTGTAAAGCTTTTATTTGTCGACTGCTTTGTGAAATCTAGGCAAACCTACAGTAAATGCAGAGTGTATGCGGAGATCCTTCTTTTTGCAACTTTGGCACTTGTTTCGATATGCACAGCGACGCGCAGTAAATGCGTTATTAATTGAACAGTCTCTCTGATGTTGAAATAGTTAGTTCCCCGAAAGCACAGAGGAGGGTAGCTGACAATGGTGGTGTCGCCTAATGCGGAGCGTGTGACCCCTCGTAGTAAGCACTCGGAAGAGCCCCCCTCTGTAGCGCAGTTCGGCAACTGTGTTTTCGATAGAAGAGCATTAGTTTATGTGACAACGGCTCGCAGGCATTGCCATTCTGTTGCGCAGTCTTTCATTGCTGCAAGACAAACAGCATGGGAACACTGTTGGCAATGGACGCGTCTTTTCCAAACATTAGGGAGTTTTAGAATAGCGCACGCAAAAGCTTTGCGTGCGCAAAGAATAGCGTCGTCGCCACTGCGCATGCTCCGAACGCAAACCAGATTTTGCGCTTTGCGTGCGCAATTTTAGCGTGCGCTATTTCTCGGAAATAGCGTGCGTACGCAAAGGGTCTTTGCGCTTCTCCAAGGAGGATTCGTGATGAGAAGTTGGCTAAAGCCAAGACGAGCAGAGTTGAAAAAAAATGGCGGCTTCCAGGATTATGTCAGCGGCTGCTTTGGCGGCGTCGTGAGTGCGACGTCGGCGGCATCCTCGTGACTGCGATTTTCAATACGGGACGACATTGTACTCGGTTTGACAACGATCACCGACAGCTTGATGCTTGTGACGCGCGAACATTTCTCGGCGAAGGTACGATGTGCGAAGGTCAGTACACGAGACCTCTTTTGCCGAGGCGACGCAAGCGGACACGACCGGTCAACCGCTCGCGTCGCATTCTCACGTTTAAACAAATCTAAAATAATACTCTGGACTAAAAAACTTGTTTTTTCTTAAGTTAGAGCATTTCGTGTGTGAAATAAAAATTGTCACTGCATCTTGGTGGCGTCGCAAGCGCGAGATGCTTGGGCTTTTGCGCCGCGACGGAGAAACGCTATTCTAAAACTCTCTCGCGTCGCGTGCGCTAATACAAGCGCTAAATTTAGCGCTAGCGTGCGCTAAAATTGCGTACGTTATTCTAAAACTCTCTATTGTTTACCTGGCTTACTTCGGTTATTATTTCTATAGTAGAAGAACTGAAAGTGAAAAGAATAATTCTATGCGATGAGGTGAAGCCATGTTATGAATGCCTGTTCGATGTGTCTGCGAGTTATGCGACCGTTGCAATTTTCGCTTGTAGTTTTTGATAGTCCGCATACGTTTTCAGGGTGTTGACCTTGTCATTGTTCCAGTTCGAGTTCAGGAACTTTTTATTTTGTTTTTGTTTGACTCTGGTTCAGTGATACTTGCAAGATGTTGGTTTCTGGTTCCACCAAGTGCGATCTTAATCTTAAAGGGACAATGCCATAATCTTTTACTTTGTGCAAAAACCGCTTAGAACAAATCCCTGACATCAATGACCTATGAAACGCGCATTCATTTTCACCATATGCAATAGAAGTCATGGAAAAAATTAAAGAAAAATGAGCAGCGTTCAGCCCCTCAACACGCAGTCAGAACAAGCCGCCACGTGAACTGGAGCCGGTTAAATGCCGCCAATGTTGCTTGTAGCCACGTGCTGGGGTTGGCAAGGCGCTGGAGACGAGCTGAGTTCCAGACATAGTTATCGTTCGACTGTTGTCGTCATTGTAGCGATTGGACAGATGCTACTACCCAAATGCTTGTCGAGCCATAGACTATCACGAGCCTAAATTGAGTGCTCACATAATGCTCGGGTCTAATCTTAAATCAAACCAAATGAGTTTATTTCCACCTTGTAAAAATACTGATGGAGGGGCTTGGAAAAAAAAGTTGCGCTTAGCAGCTTGACGAGCCATCTATCAGTCGCATTCAAATATTGTCACTGGGGATTACTGCCCCCCCGCTACGGCATCAAGTTTTGCAAACGAGAGATTGAAAGAATATGCTTGCGTTCGTCCTTAAATTCGCGCCGCAACAACCAATTTTCTTTGTCTGTGGCGTTGCGTGCGAGTATACTTGGGTCCAAATAGTGTCAGTAAGCTTGGGTAAAGTGAAAAACATTGCAAGCAAATATCGTTGCACGGCCCCTTTCACTCTAGCTTAGACTGTGACCGCTCCTGCATTCCCCGAGCGAAAGAGGAAGGAAACTTCACAGCTCCCAGTCGCTAAGAGAAAATAAAATTGTTTTCAGACTGACACGTCGGTCGAAAAACAATGGCGGAGCAAAGTCTGCCGTGACGGAGGTGCTGCGCCAAATTGCGCCACTAGCGAGTGCTACATCTTGTGCCAAAGCACCATTTTTGCTAAGAATTGCGCAATGTCTGCGCCGAAGTAAGCTCGAGTGAAGCAAAAAATGTTTTATTGGTCTATTCTAATATTTAGAGAAGTAGATGAAAGTTAAAGTGGTACAAGTATGCATTTCACAGCTTCTCTATCCACCGTATAGTTTGCTTCATCTTAGGTCAGAGCACCGTCAAAGGCTCAAATGCAAACAATCGCAAACGCACATACTAAAAGTGCAAATCTAGGGGAATTCGCTTCGCTTTATCGGTTAGGTTGATGAAAGAGCACGTTCAGATAGAATTCCACGTCGCGCTTTTGTCGCTTTATTTGGTCCCATTGGCTCGTAGTATTGCCTGAGCTCTGCCAACCGTGCTAGCCCTGTCATCGTTTGAATTTCCAGACTGTGTCAGCTATGTCAGGAGCTAACAGTTACGAGAAAAATTTGCAAAATAGTGTGATGGCTGCTACTGTGGTGGGACAGAACCAGGGTCTATTACTCCTGATGATGTCGCTCGATTATCTCGTCTGCCACATGCCTCCATGCCGTGGTTACAGCAACGCCCGGAATCTTTCTATACCTTCCATTGGAACTCCAATTGCAGACTGCAATGCCAAATTCTAACGGGTGGCGGGTGTGTAAAACATCGACAAGAAACCAGACAAAAAGGCGGGCTCTGTCGTCATGGCAACAATGTCGCCAGACCATGGGAAAAGGTAAAGAAGGGCTTAGCCATTTTTTTTTACAAAAAAGGTGTGTGCATATTTTTTTCTGCAAATGTCTGACACTTGTGGAACGCTTGCGCTTGACTTTGCATCACTCAATTGAGATTGGCTCGGCAGCAGTGTGTGCACAGTGATAGTCGCTTCTCATTAAATCGTAAATCAATGAATGCAAAGTGCACACAGGCGCTGGTGTTTTGCAGCTTAAGATGGGTGACATTTCATGTTGCCAGTCTGAGCTTCCGTCCAAATTTCTTTTGCAAGTTATCTTTTTTATTAGGCATGGGCTTTATCCAGCAAAATTTTTTCACTTCACGGCACAACAAACTAACAAAATCTAAACGAAACTACTACTAAAATATTCACAGACCAGGATTGCTACATTGCACATTTACATGCATGTTTTAAGAGGTCACTAAAGCGATGTAATGGCGTATGGTTGGTGGAGGCAATAGACCGATCTCACCAGCCGGTTTCACTACTCCACCGCTGCCGCAATGCATCGAGGGAACTTCTAGACTCCCTACACGTGCGACAGCCCTGCTGGAGCTGTTTGCGTGTAGAGCACGAGAAGGCACGAGCCCTCGCATGCACAGCCGTCTGCCTCCCGTGAGCTAAAGTTATTGCAGTGACACACGTGCGCCGAAAACTTTGTGAGATCGGTCTATTGGCTCTACCAATCAGATTCCATTGCATCACTTCCGTTACCTCTTGGAACATACATGTAAATGTCCAACCTAGCCGTCCTGCAATAGACCTTTCGCTAAATTACCCAAGCATCAAAGAGGATGTTGGGAACGTAGGTACACGCACTGCACATGCTTGCCTTTCCTGTAGAAATGATTTGAATAACCTAAATAAACCATCCGTGGAATATGCATACGAAGTGCCATTTGTTTTAGATTTTTTTCTTTCAAACTGTGTGAGGGGAAGACACCAGTAGCACGGCGCGTGTACCTAGGTACGTTTCTGGCATTCTTTTTGATGCTTGGGTAATCTGGCAAAAGGTCTGTTAAACACATTCAGCTTTGCGACAGTGATCCATGTACTATCGAGCCGTGGTGCGCTAACATCGGTCCCCCCATACCGCTCATCAATTAAACTTCAATGGCTTGTTCCTTCTCACCTTCTGGAATAACTCTACTAACATGAAGTTTTTAACAATCCGGAACTGTATAGCCTAAAGAAGAAAGCAGCGCCTGTCTTTACCTTTCATTCTTCGGGAGCCCAAAGAACTTGGCAGAGCTGTTGCCGCTGGAATTAGAGCACCAAAGAGCCGAGCAATGGACACAATGCCACGTGCTCAGCGTACTGGCGGACAAAATAGACTGATAACCAAAAGGCCAATGCCACTGCTCGCTGCTGCAAATCAAAAGTACCGCCGTATCACTGGCACGGGTGCCAGACGCCGTCGAGCAGCCGACACATAACTGTTCAGAATGACCGAAATCCCCACAACCACAGACCAACAAGAGGAAAGCACGGGGGAGAAACTTTAACTGAGTATATTTGTTTCACCGTAGCAGAGTAAAATTTCAAATCTGAGAACAGCAATGATATTAAAAGATGTGCTGAGAAAGAAGAAAAGAATGCGGGTCTATTTCGGAAATTCACAGGGTCTCTTATGTTATCTCTAAGACGACTTGAAGGCGAAAGCCCAAGCGCCAATGCATTAAAGACAGACACATGATTTACTTTGTTTCACCTTCTCTTTTTTCACATTCTCTTTTTCGACGTTATTCACTTTATAGTTCTTCTTAATTCCCATTGATTACTCTTCAATTCCTCTTAATTCCTCTTAATTCACTTTGATTCCTCTTGATTCGCTTTGTCATCCTTCTTAATTTTGTTGCATCTTATTCGCCTGAGTGGTCACGTAAACGTTTTGGTACCTTTTGTTTTGCAACATGTTTTCACTTAAGGACTTTTAAGGTCGACTGAATGATGAGAGCTATAAGTCTTTTGCCTTAATAAATACAGTAGTTATTGTACAGGGAGTTACTATGGAGAAAAGGGAACAGTGTTTTTCACCTTGTCTATATAAACTATGTCGCGCATCGTTTGCTAAATGTCCAAAGCACCGAGGAGCACGTTGCGAGTGTAGTTAAGGCCCATTCACACACTCGCATTTGACTACGACCAACGTTACTAAAACACTCGGTTGGGAAACTGCCATAGAAACTGCTCTGAGAAAGTGTCCCCGATCTGTCTTCGAGCACCGAACTAATGGCGAACACAACGCCACCATTTCTCCTGCAGCGGCCACTCGAGGAACTGCACGTGACGTCTATTTTGGCTTAAATCGGTCATTTTGGTGCCGAAACAGATACGGCGAAAGAGGTTACAGGAGTGCCACCCCCGTCTCCCCAGCGGACGCGCTGCGTCTTACTACCAAAGTTAAAATGCACCTAGGTCGGGACGCGCTACCTGAAAGCACCGCTGAGGCATGGTTGTATAAAAACAATATTAATTGTGCCGCAAAACCTTGCAAACTAAAGATTATAAAAACATCACACACCCTTGATTTTGTACAAAACTCCAATAAATTTCATACAAAAAGAGTCATTTCCGTTTGTTTTTACGCAAAACCATGCTTTCTAAAAGCTCAAGGTGACCACAGTACAGACAAATGATAAAGAGTGGCGCTGTTGTCGTATTTAGCTCGGTCTCGGTGGACGCCAGCGGCCTAGGTTTCGTCGGCGAGTTTCCCAACTGAGTGTTTTAGTAACGTTGACTACGACTGATCGAGAAAAGACCGGTTTTTAAGCCTCTCACGACGGCTTACGACCGGCTGCACAGCAATGTAGCCGGTCGTAAGCCGCCGTGAAAGGCTCGAAAATCGGTCTCGTTTCGGCCAGTCGCAGTCGAATGCGATCCTGCAAATGGACCTTAACACGTGCCACACGCGCAGGTGTCCACAGCGATACATGTTCTAAAGCGAAACACTGAAACGAATGGCACCGCGCACACGCATTCGTCCGGTGCCTTATTTTGGTTACTGACTCGGAATCTTTCAGACTAGTGAGGGGACCGTGCGTAGCGCACATACCTACTTTCCCAGGATTCTCCGTGTCGCTCAAGTAATTTAGCGAAGGGTCTTTCGGAGACTGTCGCGGTTAGAAAACTTGACTTCCTGAGCTTCAGACGGCGAGTCACGAAGCTCGGGCAACGTTGTTTCGCTCCGTCCTGGGCCGTTCCGACACTTTTGGAGGACGAGGAGGCGTTTCCTTTAGCTTTGGACGAGTGGTAACGACGACTTTAAGCGGCAAGGTGGCCGAATCGCCAATACTCGGAAGCGCAGCTTCTGTAGACTCATGGGGTAAGAAAAGCGGGACAGGCCCCTTCCAGAAAGCCCTTTGCTCTTTCACTTCGGTAGAGCAGATGCCGGAGGGGAGGAAACCTCCAATCACGACGGGACGAGAGCCTCGTCCTCCCCCACCTGCGGCAGACCGTAGTCTTTGCCCCAATGCCTCGTTGAGCGGAGGAGCCCTCTGACTTGTCCCATTTTTCGGTGACCAGCACTGGACAGCCTGGGGTTTGGCGCCTACCGGCAGGACGCAGAGGCGGTGCTCAAGGACTGCAAGGCGGTGGCGGCCAAGCGCCGGCGCCAGAGCACGCGCCTGGAGAACCTGGGTATTCCCGAGGATGAGCTGCTGCGCCAGCAGCAGGAGCTCTTTGCACAGGTAGGGGGGGGGGGAACTTGCTGCGCCGCGGTACCCGGAACGTCCCTTCAGCTGTTGTGCTTGCCGCGTCCTCATTTGTGGACCCTCGGTTCGTGCCCAGTAACGTTGTGGAAGGGTAGTGGCGCAACGGTGGACCAGCCTTAGGCGTGGCTGACCTGAGCAATCGCACAGAACACTATCAGTGGGAAGGCGCCGCCGCACACGTCTGTTTAATTTTTTTTTTTAGCTTTCGTTTTCTTAGTGGGCACGTTGACAATGCTCGATCGCCATTGATTTTTGGAATATGGCTCTCGGCCGACAAAAGGCTCGTGTTGGGCAAATACTTGCGTTTTTGCTGACAGCGTGATGTTGTACTTAGTAGGTACAAGCATATAAAAAGGGAGGGGGGGCACTACATTTGGAGTTTGCTCAGGGCGCTTGATGGTGTAAAGGCAGCCCTGGTCTGTACGGTAGGCGCCTGTTCTGCCGTAGGTCGCTCTCAAGCTCAACAATCCATGGAAGTTTCACCAGCCAGGAGTTGAGACCCTGCCATTAAACAGCGCAAATGTTTGCTTTTCTTTTTTCCTGTTTTTTTTTTTTTTTTTTTGCTTTCATTTTTATTGCCTGGATTCTGACAGTATGGCACGCCGGGTAATTTGTTGCCACTTCGGGACAACTTTTGTTGCCTGGGCAGTAAGAATGCTGAACACACTCGTCTGTTTTCTAGGCATCAAACTGTCGCCAAAGTTGCTGCTGACGGGTGGAGCCTGGAATATGCATACTCCCATCTGGGGTCTATGCAAGATGGCGGGACGAAGGGACTGGGACATTGTCGCCTGCTATGAATGGTCAGCGCCGTGGCACTGACCAATCGCAGCAGGCGGCTATGTCCCGGCCCCTTCGTCTCGGCGTCTTGCATAACCACCCAGGTCACTGCCTCGAGCAGTTGGTGAGCTGTTGTCTGGCATCTGAGAGAAACTGCAGTCGTGCCGGAGTACTGGGTGGTTCATTATGGCGGACGCTGGGTCGTTCCTTATGGTGGACATGCCAGAAGTTTCAGAGCTTAAAGGCCTATTTGAGCGACTTGGTAATCAATCGTGCCCTTGTGTAGAATGCCTGTTTGGTAGCGCCTCCTTCAGTGTACTCCTTCACGTGGCATAGTGCGATGCAGAGAAGTGACACGGAGTGAGATCTGTGCAACTCATTTGAAGTCCCGAGTCCACGACAACGACTTGATGTTCTTTTTCCCGAGGGCCGCTTTGAAAGCCAGCGATACAGACAGACTATATACCTAATAAATGCATGTAAGGGGCACACTTTCTTTTTTTTTTGTTTTCAGATTTTTGGGGTAACGTTTATGTCCATCACTTGAATCCAGAGCAGGAATAATTGCCCCGGAAGTCCCCACTAATTGCACTTTCCAAAGGCTTGTCTCGGGTCGTATAAGGAGTATTCTTGTCATGACGTGCTCGCCTAGTTGTAGTGCCACCAAGAGATGTTGAAAGCATCGAGAGTGCGCCGGTGCCGAGCTTAGTAGATGGTCTTCCGCAATTTTCTGTTATGTCGGCGCGAGTCTCTCTGGGGGGGACATACAATTCTGAAAGTGCGATGATTTATTTATTTTATTTGGGTACAGAGACGACTGCATACTCACGTGTCTCATGTTGCACCATCTGTCGGCAGCACATACAACTAAGCGTGCACGGTCATCACGTCGTCTGCGAATGCCGTCGTGAATTGCCCAATGCAGGTTGTTCTTTATTTTTATTTTTTAAACGAAGTGGGTTTGTCAGTTGATATTTTCACTCCATGCTTCCACCACCTAGCCGTACCTCTGCAGTAGAAAAACCCATTTTTGCAGACCGTCTAAAGTAGGTTCGGAGCATTAGTGTACATACTCTAGCAACACGTGTAAATAAAGCGAAGTTCGTAAGAACAGGAGCTGCAGCGAGCCCTCCGGCACAGTCGTGGCTTTCTTCCTGCTTTCCTTTCTGTTCTGTTTTGTATAGATGTCAAGCAAACAGCTTGTGCCCGGGCGACGAGGGAAACAAAGGCGACGTCTTAGCATTCTCCCGAGCCGGCCTGAGAGAAAGAGCAAAGCATGCGGTGAAACAAAACAAGGTCGCATTCGGCTCTACAGGGCAGCCAAGCGCATATTCGGCGGTTTTTCAATATGGCCGTCCTTCAACAGCCAACTGGTTTTGTCCTCTTTATCTGACCTTTGTTGCTTCAAGCCTCCTGCTTTACAAGGTGTTCTTTATTTAATTTTACCGCTGAACTTTGTGATTTCCCACTCCTTGCTCGGACGACCGTTTTACGTACGTCGTGAACAAATGACCCACGAATCTGCCACAAGTGTGCCCCTAACGCCTGTTTCAACTTTCATAGGTTTGAGCTTTTGCACTGTACTGGTAGTGGCTTATGCATGGAACGTTTTTCTCGTGGATGCAACGATAGTTATGAAGAAGCTTGACCACATTTCAGAACCTCCACCTGTGTAGTACCATGCAATCTTTCAAGGTGGCTGAAGTCACTTAGTGGCTAGAGCAGAAAGCAGTCTTGACAGGTGTGCTTGCCAGCTTTCTCGAGCTAATCAGATTTTCACAGCGCCTGGTGGTCAGAAGACAAAGTCGTTAAACGAGGTGAGAAAATAGTTGCAGTGAAAAAAATCGCCATTATCGTGGTTTCTGATTCTTTTCCATCCCAAGGTACACTAATCTGTCTTCACTGACACCCTCAATGATTATCAGATATGAACTCATTTGTCGATGCAATCACATTTTTATTTTCAAGTGACACGCCAGCAGTTGGCACCTCCTTCAAACCTGTATTTTACCTGCTACAAAACTCTACAAAAGGTTGAATGCTGCTTCCATCACTGGATAATTGAATCGGTACACAACGTAAAAAGTGAGCGCCTATTGCTCCTAGTTAAAAATCTAGTTTCCCCGACATTTCTCTGCTCAGGAAGCAGCAAGATTCTTGGCATGTCATTGACGTTGTCCTGCGTACAGTCACCAACCAATTTTTCAGACTTCGCAGGGACCGAAAAAACGTCCAAGTAGTAGAGCAGTTCGAAAAATCAGCAGATTGAAAAACTTGCCTTTACTATATCTAAGCGGGCTTTAAGAAGCCGTCAATAGTGCCTTGCTGCAGGTTACGCCTCCGCTTGCGTTCGGCCACTTTCTATTAGCTTTAGAATTGCTACCTTCTTTTCTAGCGTTATAGTCAACTTTTTCCCACGCTTCTTAGTGAAACTTTGCGGCGGCAGAAGAACAGATGGGGCCATGACGTCCTAGCCGGCGTAGTCCAAAAACACAGCTCACCAAGACTAGAGGAGAGGCGCAAGACCTGTACTGCAGAATGGCAAATGAACAAGGCAAAATGGTCACAATGATGATGGTATTGACGCGTAGCTATAGAGAGAAAAAAGTTCTACAGTTGAACCTCGATTTAACGAAGTCAGTAAAATCCGCAATTTAATTTGTACATTGAAATTTCGTTACATCGAAATTTGGTACCTAGCACGTGAAAAATCAATAAGATGTGTTATGGGTGCAAACACTCACCAGAAGCAGTCTCTATTTGTGATGAAAGTGGTCCGTGACCTTCGCCTGCAACACAATATCAGCGTCGCACGGCAATTAATATCCCACAGCGCATGCATCGCATCTCGTTGCACATGTGCACTGGTGTACCGCCTCATTACGTCAATCGCGTCTAGCACCTCACGGCTGCTCGGCACCTCGCAAGGATCTTCGGCGTCCGCCTTGCTCTCATCGTCTTCTGATTTGCCGAGCACGTCCTTCACAATGCAATCATCGGTGACCCGTCGCGACGACACACGAGTCCCCATAGAGAAAGTCCTTCAGAGCGACACCGTCCGGAGCGACTCCGTCACTGTGCAGGAACTGCCATGCTCCCGAAAGAGCCTCTTGGTCTTGATCGTCTGCTTCCAGGAGAGCTTCCTGGCTTTCATCGCGCTCAGTTCCTCTGGGAATGGTAGAGGAGGACGAAGCCCCTGCGTTTGGTTCCTCGCTGTCCACTTCCTTGGGGGCACTGGCTGCGGGTGTTTCGAATCCAGTTTTCCTGAAGCAGTTCTTGATGACCTCCTTCGCTGTGACCTTCCACGAAGCAGGGAGCATCTCGAGGGCTTGAAAGATGTCCACTTTCGTTTGGCGCTTCAAGCGAAGGTCGAGCAGAAGCTTGTCAATCAGCCGCCGCCGATACGAGCTCTTAACGCTGTTTATGATGCTTTAGTCGAGTGGCTGAATCAGTGACGTGCAGTTGGGCAGGAGGAACTTCAGCTCCACGTTGGTCAGTTCCAGGTCCTCAATGTGGCGGGCGGAACAGTTGTCGAGCACCAGGTACACACTGCGACTGTCATCCCTCATCTCCTCGTCGAACTTCTGGAGCAAACCACAGAAGATGTCGTGGGTCATCCACGCCTTCGAGTTCGAAGCGTACTCAATCTCGAGCTCTCAAGCCCCTCTGAAGCATCGCGGCTTCTTGCTCTTCCCAATAATAAACGGCAACCACTTGTCACTGGCGCCCATGTTCACAGAGCAGAACTGTGATCCGCAGCCTGCTCTGGTTTTTCTCCGTGGCAGCCGTCTCCTTTGAGAGCCAGCATCCGGTTCGGGAGCATTCAGTAGAAGAATTTTGTTTCGTCCGCGGCTGATAGCGCGTCAGAATTCCTGTCGTCTCTTTGTCAAGCCAAGCAGCAGCTTCAGGTGCATCGGCCGACGCCGACTCGCCGCTCATTATCTTCCCGACGATCTTGTGCCTAGCGTTGAACCGGTTAAGCCATCCACTGCTTGCTTGGGAGTCATCGCGGAACAACAGGCATCCGAGGTCCTTCGCCTTCTGCTTTGCGACAGCACCACTCAATGGAACGTCTTGTGCCCGGGTATCCATAAATAAACCAGGAGAAAACTGCCTTGTCCACGTCTGGATAGGTGGCGGGCTTCAGCCATTTTCGCTGGGCACTTGTTCCATTCTTGAGAGCACCGAGGATACTC